TACAGTCAACACTGTCCCTGAATGCATCCTGTAAAGACACAGACAGAGGAGTGAAGCTGCTGCTGCTGCTCACACTGCGCCTCCTGTGTAGATACCGTGTAGTATGAATTCAAATTCAGGCCAGTCATCATGTACACTGCTAAGCATATCTTATATTTGATAGGACATAGCCACTGCTTGACCCCTGCTTTAGTCTCTTTTATCAGGCCAATTTGTCAATGCTGGATACAGTCAACACAGATGACACTCTTTTCTCTAAAACTCTTGACATGCTTTTATGTCAGGATTCTGTTCACTGACTTTACCTTCCACTTTCAACACCATCCTGCCAGCCGCAAATAATCCCAGCTATACTTGACCCATTTAGGCTCTCAGTCTCCCTTTAAGATGAAAACATTTCATGCATCTGGGACTGTTTGTCAGACAGCCTCTCTATGAACACAACTCAGTATACTGCTGTAAGTATGCAACTATGAGATTCTTTTCTTTTAATCAGTGTCTATAAAAGTCTACAAAATGCTCATCGCAGTTCTCAGTAGCAAAGCCAAAATCGATGTTTTAAATTTGCTTTTTTCCCAGATCAAATCTATTAAATTCACAATGACATGAAACAGAGGAAAATGCAATCAAATCGTACAAACGCTACATGCTACTCATCTGATGAATTTCAGTGTATTTCATTGTACTTTAAGTTTGCCTGCACTCACATTTTCAAACTATCGTTGTTTGCAGATGATGCTACCATTATGACCTCTGTGTCGCTTTATGGGGAGACTATGACCTGCATCACATCATACTGTGCTACCAACAAAACTCACTGTCATACTGTATATATTTACTGTTAAAGCAGGGCTGTGTAATATAAGAGAAGTATCACATCATATTGTCTTCTTGATGTCCAAAATACAGTTTCTAGGTCCATTCAAATTAAAGACCCAACTCTTCTCCTTGTAAAAACTGATGTTTAAGAAGTAAAATTATCTGTCAGCATCTCTACAAACCAAAAATCTGTTACATATCCACATATCATACAAATTATATCAATATTTCTAATGTGACTTAATATATAAAATGACTGTCATCGCGAGGTGGAGGAGATGGTGGATGGCGTAAGTTCTAGGGAAGACACTTGCCAAGCTTCAGACCACGGTTCAGACCAACAAACAACAACACCAGCTGTAATTTGGTGAGTCACTGGTGTATTTTCAGCAGCTTTTTAGGAACTAAACATGGCTGCAGCTTTTTAGGAATGCAGAGCGGTTGTTTTTTTCTTTGTCTTTTTTTAACCAAGACATGGCTGCTTTTCCTGCCGGGACTTTGCCCCACAAACCGGGTATTTTAAACCAAAACATGATGTTTTTCTGACCATAACCAAGCATCTCTGTGCCTAAACCTTACGATACATTAACCACAGCGTTGTTGAAATGTTACAATTCAACATATCCACTACATAATAATTGACAAATGTAACATATTCGTGGTTTGCAGAAACGTACAATGCCACCATTTTTCAGGCGACTGGGTTGTATCTGATGGTGTTTGGCCTTTAAGTTGGAATTACATTAACTGACTTCTTATTTAAGGCTTTCTTTGCAGTAAAGCTATTATTCTGCAGCCTTTATCCAAATATATCACCTTACTGTAGAATTGTATGTTAACTGGATAAAAACCAAATTATTTCATATTGTTTCAGGAAATCTTGGCATTTTTTAAAATCTAATTCTCCATGGGGAAAAAAACAGGTCTTGCTGCAGATTTATTCCTAACACAGAGTAAAGTGCACATATAACAAAATACCATTCAAGAGAAGGAGCCAAGTCTCAGCTCAACTGTTTTGGAGCAAGTTGTGTTTGGGCCATCTGTTTTGATTTATGTTCAATGGTACCTTGAAATCTGACCAATATCTCTCTTGCATGAGGCAGTGAAAACAATAATTAAAGCGTGCAATCAGTGCTCTTGCCGCCAAATCTAACAATGGAGAAACCCATCAAACTTTCTTTAATGTAGCATTTTTTGGTAGTATTCGGGTCAGGCGTGGACCACCATTTTGTTAGTATGACATCCAGTCTAACAGCATGGGATTATACTGGCTCTCAATGCAGAGGTGCGAAGCAGCTGACATGCATATCACAAGCACATGAACATAGATAGCTGGTGGTTTGTTTAATCACCATTACTTAAAGGAATAGTTTGACATTTTGGGGAAAACGCTTATTCACTGTCTTGCTCAGAGTTAGATGAGAAGATGGATAACACTATCATATCTGTACAATAACTCTGAAGGTTGATCCAGCAGCTTGTTAGCTTAGCTTAGCATAGGGACAAGGAACAAGGGGAAACAGCTCGTCCGGCTCTGTCCAAAAATATCAAAATTCACCCACTAGCCTAAAACTATAGCTTCCTAATTTGCTTCTGTATTAACACCAAGCAAAAAAACTACGACTGTGTCCAAAATTCCATATTAACATGCTATTTAAACACGAGAACAACATGTGAGATATTTTAGCGTGTCCAAAACCTTAGTATGAAACCAACAGTACTGACTTGCATTCTTTATTTTGGTGAAATATTACAGGATGCAAACACTGCACACTACACCAGCATACATATCCCACAATTTAATGAGGTAGTCAGTGATGTAGGCATACTTGACGAGGTGGGGGTAATACTAAGTAGATGAGTGGGTTACCAAAGAGGAAGTGGGTATACTCTCCTATATATTCCAATGTTTTTTTGGCTGATAGGTGGGTATACTGTAAACAGCTAGAAAAAGCTGCGTATACCCTCCACTACACCACTGGCGGTAGCGACAGCAATATTCATAACAGACAATGGCAGACAGCGTAAATTTGTAATTTCACTTTGCTAGATATTTTTTAAATTAGTTCAGAAGTAAACCCAAAATCTCAAGAGGTTCATCATGCTTGCTGTCAGCTATTGCAGAGCTGAGGTTGGCATGGGTTACAAGCATGGAGGCTCTCAGGAAGTGACATGGCAATTACAGCTTGGTGCGTCCAAAAAAACACATACTACTGCTTATTCAAACAAAAGTATGAGGAATGATAGTACACGTATTGGGTATGCAGTGCACAGCATGCAATTACAGATGCAGTGTACAATTTATTGGCCACAAAAAGTGACTTCCTGTCACCATGGCGGCTCCATGAAGTCACTCCTCTCAAGAAATAGTCCACCACGTAACAACCCATAAAACCAAAAATTGCTTATTTTTACATTCCTGTGTTTTTTACAAATAAACAAACGTGTTATTTGTAAATTTGTTCAAATGCATTTTCATACATTCAGATACAGCAGGCTAACTGTTTCCCATTGTTTCCAGTCTTTGTGCTAAGCTAAGCTAACAGTCTGTCTGTTGTAGCTTCCTATAGGATGGACAGGCATGACAGCTGCATCGATTTTCTTATCTAGCTCTCAGCAAGAAAACAAATACGCTTATTGTCCAAAATATCAAGCTGCTCCTTTAAATAAAAAGCTCAGTGATGCAAGGCCAACACAGTCAACATTTCATCTCAATGTTTCAACAGACTGCAACTTCTTTTCTGCTGTACTGCATTCATTTTGTATATCCTCCTCTAACAAAAGACTGCTGCATGTAATGTATATATCTAAGCAGTTATGACATTATAACTGCATCATTATTGTCAACTCTGATGGCAGGTCTGTGTTTAATAAGTCACAGTTGGTGTGAACAAGCATGTCAGAGGGTCCATGTAGCACCAGACTGGGTCCAGACACAATATTCTGGGACACTGTAACAGAAGTAGAACAGCTCTCATTTGTAATTACTGCCAGGCTACGTTGTGATTTGTGACTGTCTGGTGCAGCCTGTTCGCCTTTTCAGAGAGTAAATCACCTTCAATGCAGTGCCGATACCAGACAACACCTCTGAGTCGATATTACTAGGCCACACGTCTATGCCTTCATAAAATGGAGAATTTCTGCTTTAAACAATCCCCCCATGAGAGGTTCTCTGCTCCTAAATCAGATGTTTATTAGATGAAGTTTTCACATCGTGCTCGGCCTGGACCTGTCATCACAGGAGGAGCCAGACCTGTGAGCAGACCAGTTTTGACTGGGTATGTGGGGTCATTGGGATCAGTTACCAGGCAACAGCTTGGCACATGTCTCCCTCATCTGGACACGAGTGGAAAAGCAAGGTTAAGTAAGTACATGGGTCAATACAGAGTGCTCAGGAAAAAAATATGAACAAAAGGGATATTGTGCAGTTTGTTGCTCCAGGAATGATTAGTATTATGAGCCCCTTGGATCAGCACCAGGCGAGCCTTGCAGCATGTATGTGCTCAGTGCATCACACACACACACACACACACAGCACTGTGGCCGGATCCATGTGCAGCGTGAGATCCAGCATGTGAATCCCATGCATGCAGCAATGGGCTCTATCAATTCAAGAGTGCATTTTATCTGACATGTAATGCATTATTTAGTTACTTTTCCATCTTGAAGGCTGAGACGGTCACACCCCTCTCTGGAGAACTCAAATGGGACTGCTTGCTATGATACAATGCACACATTCCCCCCCCCCCCCCCCCCCCCCCCCACCAGCAGCGGGGGACGTTATATCCAATTTGCTCGTTGGTTTTATCACACAAACGAGCCTCGTGGATATCAGAATACAGGCCCAAACCCACACAGCCATATCAATCAACCCATCTTTGTCATGGTCAATCATTGTGGAGCATGTGAAGGATCCTACCACACACATCATGCATATGTGCCAGGCCGTTCCAAGGCAATTGTTGTTTCCCATAATAACACGGTTTAACCAGGGCTGAACTTTCACGTGACATATGAGATATGCAGCCATTTGTTAGGACGAATTAGCCCCACACTTCATATGACCTAACATAGGCTGCAATAAAAAAAAATGCCATGCGATTGCAGAAAGCAGCACCAAGCGCACACGGAGACAGCAGAAATCATATGTGCGGCACAAGATATATTGCACTTCAACTCACCTTGAGCGGCCGTTCCTCTGGTGCTGAATACACTTGCTATCAGAGTGGCCACATACCAAATCATAGTACTATTGCCGACCAGCTATTACCACGCAAAGTGCCCCGTTCAACCAATCTCTCATATTCGACCTTGCACCTCACGGTCTCTTAACAAAAGCCCCTTTTCATATCCTATTTTCTTTCCTCGTGGCGTTTCCCTTCATCCCTTCCCTCCCCCGTCCTTCCATCCGCATCCTCTCCCGAAGAGACAGAGCACCTGCACCGCCGCGTTTGTAGTAGACGGAGCCGTTTTACGAGCGCATAGTGAAACCAAGTGTGAGAATGCAGCCACAGGTCCGCCTCTTCTGTCATTGGATTGGCTGCTGATTGAGGCTTTGGGGCGTGTATTGGTTCTCCGTACGCCCCGCACCCGAATGACAGGAGAGCGGCCGTGCGCCGATTCAAGGTGAGTTGGAGCGTGCCATAGTAGTGGAACCGCAGTATCATGCGCATTGACAGAGAGACGTGTCCACATCTTTAAATACCTCTCCTAAACTGGCCCCACGTGCACCATCACCGCCCATCATCCATTCATCCACGCAGCCTTTTTTTGCACTATCCGTCACATCAATATTGGCACCATGCGGCTATTTATGGCGCAGGTTTACTGTATGTGCGATGAAATAGGGGGGAAGCTTGTGTGTGTGTGTGTGTGTGTGTGTGACTCATCTGTCGCTCACCCATAGCCCTCGGCTGTTGTCATGTCGCTGTCACCGACATAAAACTCTCTTTTTTTTCCGGCTACCGCGCCGTGTCTGGCTTTATGTGATGGGTGTGGCGACAGATACAATACCGTTCCCCAGTTTTTTCCTCGATGGCCGCGAGCGCGAGGATGCAGCTCCATCACGCTGCCCACTGCGCACACATGGTTACCACTGATAAGGCTGCCTCACTCTCACTGCCTGTGTTTTCTACATGCATGACCACAGAGGGATCATAACGCCTGTGCGCCTCTGGCTGCTCGACATCAGCTCTCATCTCACATAAATAACGCGTGCACCGGCTGCTGTGTGCTGCCGGATGATAAACATATAGCTGGTCTATCGTTTGAGTCAAGACCAGTCTTGCAAATCGGGGTTTTTCAGCAGAATTTGTCACAGTTTTGTCTCGGCATCTCTGCTGTCTGCCCCCCTCCTCCCCTCCTTTTTTTTAGGAGACTGTCATGTTCCTGTCTGAAATCAGAGAAAATCTAAAAAAGGTGAGTAAAAATCAAAGACATTCTCCATTTTGTCTCCAGACCTTTTTAATCCTGCAGTGAAATCCTGCTGAGTTACATTTTCACAACACATTTGAACATTTTTTATAACCAGTTGTGCCTGCAATTCATTGGCAGTCCTTTCCCCTGTGAGAGGACTTGAACACAGTGTGATCTAAGCCTTACACTACAGCCCAAAACAGTGCAGTATCATTTTTGAGACCTTAAAGGTCCAGTGTGTAGGATTTAGGGGGACATATTGGAAGAAATCGAATACAATATGATTAGTATGTTTTCTTTTGTGTGTAATCACCTGAAAAGAAGAATCGTTGCATTTTTGTTACCTGAAAGCCATTTATATCTACACAGGGAGCAGGTCTTTGTCCACGGAGATTGCCATGTTGCACCGCCATGTTTCTACAGTAGCCCAGAAAGGACAAACCAAACACTGGCTCTGGAGAGGGCCATTCATGTTGGCCACCATTGTTAGCAGCCCCTATGTAACGAGCAGTGTTGGAAAGACAGATTCTTTTATGTGAAACGAGCAGAACAGCACAACACTGATTTTGTAACGTGAAACTGCTTCATTCAGTGTTTTTTACCGCTTTAAATCAACAGCTCTGTTTGTTATGGAGAGGATGAGACCTCTGCAGATGATTCAGCTTCCAGTAAAAACCTCCTGATCAATGAAAACTGAAGGAATTCTAACTGGATACATTTCAGCTGATTGCAATCTGCAATCCTCACCACTAGATGCCACTAAATTCGCCCAAATCTTACACACTGGACCTTGAAGAACTTTCAATTTTGCTTGCTTGATTTCTTCTATGAAGGCATCAAACAAGGCCTGTGCATGTTAAATACAGATGGATTGACAAAGTAAACAAATAAACAGCATCACTTGTCTTAATAAGGTGTTGGGCTGTGGTCATCAGCATGTAATCTCCACGTCTCTGAAGAATGCTGTTCTTCCGAAAGAAACTCACTCATTAGTTGCTGTCGCTCTCAGTGGTTTGGGATTGTGATCTGGTGACCGTGAAGGCCGTATCATGTGATTGACATCATTTTCGTACTCATCAAACCACTCAGTGACCCCCTCGTGTGCGCTGTATGGAAGCATTTGCATTTAGTCACTCATTAATTGAAGTTTATACTTTAATTAGTTTGAGTACTTTTCTAAAACAGTGGTTTCCAGCTTGGCCAAATTTTGGATGCTGGATAATTAAAAACAACAAATAAAAACAACAACAACCCACAAAAAGAAAAAATAAGAAAAAAATATATATATTAATGCTACACATTTATGTTTATTTTTTCTTGACTGTTTTTTCTTATCTAAGCTTTTATTGTGAAAATCGGAACAGTTTAAGCCTCTTAACAATACTCTTTGATTCAACGTCTCGCAGCTCATACAGTGGCGATCCTAGACTCTGGAGGGCCCCAGGCAAAGACGCCTTTCTTGGCCCCCCAACATCCCCTGGTGTCATTTCAGTTTTTCTCTTCTTCTTTTTTTCGCCTTCCATTTCTGGTGAAAGGTATGCTCATTTCACTGTAACGGTTACACCTAACATATGTGCGACAGTTACAGGTAGCTAGCTGACTGTCCCAATTAATGGTATCCAGTTGTCATACAGTATAGAAGTGGCCACACTTAAGGATTTTCGGGACAGTGGTGGTGTACTGTATTGTGCCTTTGACAACCATAGTGGCCATCTAGGCTTTTCCAAAACTTTTTTTTTGGCCCCTAACATTTGACTGTTTGTCTCTCCTGGCGGTGCGCCCCTGAGTAAATAGGTATACAGTATTCAAACTGTAAAAAAGGAATTGCATGTAAACACTACTTCTCTTTAAGGTTCAAGCCTGAAATGTTGGAAGGACTCCTCTGAAACAACACCAGCTTCATACAGAATAAATTAATGATCAGATTTGGAGCTGAGTAGCATCTGAGTGATGCTACTCTCTGAGCTCCCCCCTCACAGCTGCATGGGCACGCCATGCCACATACATACAGTACTGCACATGTCTCAGTGTAAGCAGGTACAGGTGGGAGATCCAGTGTTGGAATCTAAAGAGAACTAACCTCCTCTCACAAATGATGAGCAGCACGACTGCTGCTGGAGACGAGGCCTTTCTCTGCAGAAGACTCAGTGGCATCCACAACTGAAGCTATGAGTCATAAGTTATGGATCCTAATTATCAATAGCTGTGTGGCGGGGAGTCCTTGTTTAGTCATACAGCCTGTGACTAAACAGGAAAATTGGAAGGTTTCACATTCTAAACTCCACAGAGAGGGCTGCGTGGAGGAATTGTTACCGTCAATGACCAGGCCGTTTTAAAGGTGGAGCATCCATCAGATTCTCAAAATTACTGTCAGGGGAGGTGTGCAAGAGTGTGCTGTGACTGCTGCATGGCAAAACAAGGTCACATTACCTATACAGCCCCCTCCAGCCCTCACCTAAAGTTACAGAAGTGCTGACACGACACCGGAACATACTGTGTGCCTTCTTCAGCACGAGCCTTGATGAGTACAAAGCCTGTCTCCACAGTGACACACACATGACATAATGGCATTTGCCTCATGACGCCGCAGGAGAGATTGTTTTTCTTTTTCTTCCCTCCAGGATAGAATTTGATTTCCTACAAGCCACAGCAGAGCAAAGATAAGAGCAGTTAAGATAATCTCTTATGCAACAAAACTATTAGTTTTCCAGCCCTGTTAAGGGAGACTGGATGGCTGTGTTGCCAAAGGGCAGGGACGCAACATGAAATATTTCTAAATTTTGAAAGCAGTGGGGACCAGTGGTGCTGCCCAGAAAAACAACTTCAGGATTATTTTCTGCAGAAAACGGTCTATCCCTTGTTACATGCATGATTTATCAGATTCATTTTTATTGAGTTTGGATGTTTGTGCTTGTTTGCAGCCTCTCACTGATCAGGAAAAGGATATTCCCATTAACAATTACAGGAAGGATCTTAAACTAAAGAAATAAGAGGTTAGCTTTATTGGTTTACCTTTCATTTCCGCAGCTATACTGTACTATTAAAAGTTACAGTTTAGTCTTCTTTTGAGCAACAATCAATAAAGAAAACAATGCAGTATTTTTCTTTTTTGACAAGTGTGGACACGAGGTAAGACCAGAATCTGTATCTGTTGTCTTTAAGGTGCCCTGCCAAATATACTGGAATGAAAAATTAATAGATATTTGTCTTCAAGGACGGCACATTCAGTTTATTTTTAGGGTCATTGTCCTTTGGGATCTTCTCAGGCTGTCAGAACTGTGAGCAGGCAACTTTTTGATGTCCACATTGGTGAAGGCTTTATTCTACATCCCCTAAGGCAGGTGAAAATGGAACAAATATGGCATTCCCAGTCCAGCAAATTCTTGCACTGCTCCTTTATTTCCATGTTCTGTAAATCCGCACATTGGTGTGACTAAGAACCAAATGCGTCTGCAGACTCAGATGCTTCAGTGACAGAGACATATGGATGTGTACACTGAGGGCCCCACGCAGCATCAGTCAGTCAGCCTGCAGCTGACTAACCTGCTGAACAGATGTTCTGCTGCATGTCTGTTTATGGTGTTTTATAAGCTCTGTATGTCCTTATTGTCTCACACTGCCTCTGGGTATAATTCATGCTTTTGTCCAGTAGTGGTCAGCAGTGTTTTACACAAGAGACCAGCCTGAATTTTCACTGTCGGTGGTTTTATTTTTGCTCATTAAAATGGCATTCAGGACAATTTAAGAATATTGTAAGAACATTTATATTCACCTTGAAAACACTCAAACAAGTGTATTAATCCTCATTAATCATAATAAGAAAATCAAGATGTATATTAGGAAAAATACCTCCTGTGTGCACATAAACATTTCAGCTATACTGTATAATGATTGACACGAGCCAGTTGCAGTCATACTATAATCATTATACTGCAGATTAGCTGCTGTAGCTCTGGATATCAATTGTCATCAATCAGCAGGGAATTAATTGGCAATTATTCTGATAATAAAATAATTGTTTGAACATTTGCTGGACTCAGCTTCTCACATGAAAAGAT